CCTGCAGACCATGGGGAGGATTAAATGAGAGCCTATGGATAATGCTGACACAGTATAGCCATTCTTCAGCGATTGGCTGGTTATTATCCTATTACAGCCAAGGCACTTTCCAGTGCTGAGATTGTGGATGGTGGTTAAGAGCTCAGATGCCCACATCTGACTCCCTAGGCTCAGTTCCCGCCTGTGCCACTTGTTAGCTGTGTGATGTTGGGTAAATGACTTAACCTCTCTGAGCCTTGGCTTCTCATTGCATAAGCCAATGAATCCTATAGGTACAGAGTGAGGAATATCCTTCTACAAGTCAAGGCTGTTCAAAGGCAAAATGGACTGCTGTAGAAATAGCAAGCTGGCTGTCTGCTGGTTCAGGCTTTGGAGACAGACAGGCTTGAATCCCTATTGGCTGGGTGACCTGAGGCAGTTGACCTGGCCCTTGGAGAGGCTGCATCATGCAGTGGCCAAGAACTGGATGCTAGAGCCATCATGCTGACTATGCCACCTGCTAGCTGTGTGGCCTTGGGCCGTTGAGTCACTTCTTTACGCCTTTCTTTCTGCAGAAAGAAGTTAGTCCCCCTTTCTTTCTTTCTGTAAATAATAGCACCTATCTTGTAAAGCCATGGTAAGGATTCAATTAAATGTGTCAATGTATTCAACATGCTTGGAACAGCGTCTGGTGCACAGCAAGCCACCTACATGTGCCTGCTGCTTATGGAGATAACTACATCCCTCCAGCAGGGCAGCCAAGAGGTTCAGAAACAACCCACATGGCATTCCCAGTGCAGGACCTAGCCATGCAGGCACTCAGTCCCTGGGAGCCATTACAGTTGTAATCCTTATTAACATGAGCCCTGGGCCCTGGGCCTGGCATGTGTCTGTTGCTTATCTGAAATGGGGATATGTGGAGAATTCCTTGGCTGGCCTCGGAGCAGCAGAGGAACTGGATCTTGTGTCTGCTGGGCGTCTGCTTAAGCTCTTCCCTCCTCTGCCTCCTCCCCCTCCCACTTGGATGTCATACGTCTTGTCTGTGGTTAGCTGCACTCAGCAGCGGCTGCTGCATGGTGATGGATGAGCCGTGATTGCTTCCTGTCTGGTAGCCGGTGGCGCTGCCCTGGCATCCTTCCCTTGTTTCTACCAGCCCTGCTGTTCTCCTAACATGGGGTCATCCTATCTCTTCCTAGATGCTAAATTCAGTTAGGAATTTATTCAAATACAGATACATTTCTCCCATCTGATGAGTTCTTATCTTGGACTCAGTTTTTATATCTGTGTAATGGGAACAAAATCTATCTTCTAGGATGGTTGTTGTAAGTTAAATGCAAATGCAGATGATTGACACACACTAGGTGCTCAATAATTGCATGCACCCTCCTTTCTCAGCTGAAAAAACTCTTTGCCAAGAGCCAGGGGATGACAAGGCTGTGTGTTCTGCAGACAGAACCATGGGTGCGTCAATGTAGTGCACAAGGCCATCAGTCATCATGTAGTGCAAGCCCTTCTCCTCCCCTAATGGACAAACAGATGCCCTCCTTTTGCCCTTTGGTAAACTGAGGCCAAATAAATGTATGTGTTTTTCCAGAAAGATTGCAGTAAATTCCTGGTATTTTCCCTTAGAGCAGCAGCTCTGATCAATCAGTAGGCTTCTGGTGAAATGGAACCCATGCTGTGTGAAGAGATAACCTTTTTCCTCCTCAGAAGTCTAGAATGTTCCACTTGCTTAGAGAGTGAAGGAAAATGATTGCCAATGGGTAGATAGTAAACGGACTTTAAGGAAGCAATGTCTTTGTCATTAGACATTTTCATTTTTGTGTTTTCATAGTTTCAAAAATATACATTTTTAACTCCTGAGAACTTATCCTTGTCCCTAGTTTAGAACTACTTCTTATGCTGCTCCTGAAGGATTACCTTGGAATTCCATATTTATTGGTATAGAGAAGGTAACTCAGTCTGCATTTCTTTTACCAAGGAAATAATGCACCAGTTTTCACCACCCTCATTAATTGTCCTAAGATATCCGGAAAGAGAATCTGACCTTCCAGTTGGTTACCCTGGCATATCAGTGAGGCTCACAGGAAGGAAATGCATGCAAATTTGGAATGCAGTCAGCTGCAAGTAAAGAAAACTTATATACAGTGGCTTAAATAAATAGAAGTATTTTTATTGTTGTTTTGTTCTTTTAATCTTATGCTTCTCACCTAGGATTGGAATTGCTGGCTTGATAATTCATCCATTCTCCTAGACTGTCCCCCAAACATTGTTTCACGTTCAAAGGCGGAAGGAGGGAAAATAAACTCACCACCCCATCCACCTATCTATTCCCTTACATCAAGAAAACCAAAAGCTTTTTAAAGCCATCCTTTCCTTCATCCACAGCAAACTTTTGTTATTTGTCTCTGACACTGGGACCTGAGGAAGGGCTCCCTACCCAGGCTGGGATAAATGGAAACAAAGCCCTGGGGTTGTTGAAGGCTGAGCAGAGTCTCTAAGATCCAGGAGGAGGAGGCTTGGGAAGCGTGGAGACACATTGACTCCCAGTAGCACTGATCCTTTCTTGTACTCACATGTTTGGAGTCTGTTCCTGTCGTCAGCCCTGCAGTGCCCCAAGGAAGGGACGAGGACGTCTCTATTATCCACTTCTGTGACCTTAGAGCTGGCTCAATGCTTGGAACATATCTGGAGCTCAGTGAAGAATTGCATGTGAATAAATGAGTGAATGGAGAAATAAGCAAATCGTTCTCCAAGATATGGGGATATCTTGGCCAAAAGGAAATGCAAAATGGCTTCTAATTATAGGTTAAGAGGAGCCATGGATGCTAACCCTATCTCCCTGCCAAGCAGGTGGACCCCGAGGTGCCTGGCATCCCTGGGAAGCCTGGCTGGAGGGGTGTTTAGGAAGCCATTTGTTCTGACTTAACCAACTCAACTGTAAATTGCCCCTTGAGCCTGGTGAATGTGTGAGGCTTAGTGAAGGCCCCAGAGGGAATTTGTGGGTTGTTTTGAGAAAGATTCCTTAAAGCAATTTGAGAAAGTTCTATATCTTTGAGTAGAATCTCCATCATTTCTGTGTTCATGGTCCTCCCCTTGGGAAATTTGCAGAGATGTGACTCAATGGAGCAGCTACCCTGAGCGCCAGCCACCAGCCTCCAGAGATTTGCTCATCATCAAAGATAGATAGAACCTTCTGAGTCAACTCATCTTAAATTTTAAACTCATTAAAATGACACGCAATTCCCAGCCTGTCTCTCTGGCAGGCTGCCAAGCTTAAAGTAATTGATCGTCACCCCACAGCTGCCGCTGTCCTGGGCAGAGCTGTCTAAATATTGCGCCGTGCCTGCACCGGTTCCTGTACGTAGTGCTAGACAGACAGCTTGGTGCTGTTTCAAAAATAACCCCTTCCATGGTGCTTGTCAGACCTGGTGGTGCCTTTGAGGATAAACATTAAAAATACCTCCTCCCAAATCAGGAAAGATCTCATTTGTTCCCCTGACTGCTGATAGAGAAAGGCGTCTCAAACTGGTCCTGTGCTGAGACATTTATACCCTCAAATATGAGAAGAGGCCATTGTATATAGAACTGACGGGGTGATGGAGCTGCCAAATAATAATGTGATCACAGTAATAATGTGTGATGATCAAATTGCTTCATGGACAGGGCTGGGTCTTCAGGGAGGTAAGTGAGGTGCTTTGGGTGCTAAATTTAAGAGAATACAGAACCTCCTTACTCTAGTCTCAGTGCTGTTGTGGGCTTAATCTTACCCAATTCTCAAAGCAGCCCTGTGACAAATGTGTGCATTTTAAGGTCTCCCATGCCACAGGTGCCCACGCTAAGACACACAGATTAAGAGACTTCTCCAAGCCACAGAGGTAGGCGGCAGTGCAGTCAGCATGGACCCAGCACATCAAAATTCAAAGTTAATGTTCCTTCTGGAATTGTTAGAGGGACTAAAAGAGTTCATTTCTCTTCCAACTTTTTATTTATTTATTAATTTTTGAGACAGAGTCTTGTTCTGTCTCCCAGGCTGGAGTGCAGTAGTGCGATCTCAGCGCACTGCAACCTTTGCCTCCTGGATTCAGGCAATTCTCCTGCCTCAGCCTCCTGAATATCTGGGGTTACAGGTGGATACCAACATGCCCAGCTTATTTTTGTATTATTAGTAGAGCCGGGGTTTCACTATGTTGGCCAGGCTGGTCTCGAACTCCTGACCTCAGGTGACCCGCCTACCTTGGCTTCCCAAAGTACAGACATGAACCACCATGCCCGGCCTTCTTCCAACTTTTTAAAAGTGAGGATTCGTGAAGACTGTAAGATATATTTGTAATATTGTATAATAATTTTTTATTGTATGACTTAATTACTTTCGTATAACTGAGTTTTCCTTTTTGGAATTTGCCTTTTTATGGAATTATACCTGAAGCTCCATCAGATGACTTATGGGACATCTTTCTGATCTGTCCCGGCACACAATTTCCATTTCATTGACATCCTACTGACTTGGAGGTCTCATGTATATGTGCATGCTTTCCTAAATGAAGTTCCCTCTGCCTGTATCACCTTTTGGTCTTTTGTCTGTCTGGCTAAATCTTACTGTTCTTTCAAAAAGAATCTTTCCAAGAAAGCTTCTCTGTCTTCCTGAGTTAGATTAGGTATTGTATCTGTGTCCTGAACCCCTCAGCAGCAGGCACCTGTATCTATCACTTGCTCCACTATGCTGATAATATTGATGTCCGTGTCTGGCTTCCTCGGACAAGGTTGTGAATTCATTGTAGACAGGGACAAAGCCTTGTTCATATTTCACCCCGGTACAGAACACAGTATTTGCAGAGCTGATGCTTAACAAATACACGGGAAAATGAAAACATAAGTGGGTGCGGAGCTGCCAGCTGCCCTGCATCTTCTCCACCTCACATGCTGCGTGGCGGGTTGGGGTCTCGTGTGCTGTCATATTTCACAGAGTGACGATAGATCACATTTTCTCATCAGTCTCTGTTTCCTCTTACTTTCCTCAGATGTGCTCTGCCCTAGTGTTCGCGTAGAAGGAGATCGCTTTAAGCACACCAATGGAGGAACCAAGGAAATCACAGGTAAGGGAAAAACAGCAACCACGCATGCCTGCTTCCTTATATGATTTGCTGGGCCTGAGCGTGACCCTAGTCAATTCAGAGGTGGCCTCGCTGACCCTGTGTTTGTTCCCTCTTTCACCAGAGTCCTGATAAAATGGTTTGAATCGTGCAGGTGGCAGCTCTCATCAAAGAACCATCCAACAGGAAAGAACATACATTCACATTTTCCATTTGGCAGGCTGTGGATATTCTATAGGAGTCACTCAGTAATGCATGAGAATGAATGAGTTTGTAAAGGAGCTGGTGAATGAGTAAGCAAATGATTGGCAAAGGGAGCAAACGACTGAATAAATAAATGTGTTTCGGAGTGAAAGCGAGAGTGAATCAGAGTTATAAATATATGAGTGAATCAATGGGTGAGAGAACAAAGAGACACGTGACTGCAGACCCAGCAGCAGAAAGAAATACCGCAGAGTCTCGCCAAAGGCTGTCAGGCATGTGACAGATAGAAGGCTGTGAGCATGCAGGAACGGCCCAGGCTGCTCCCCATCATCCCAGCCGATAACCTGAACATGGGGATCCAGGCCTTCCTGTGTCTGGGCACCCTGCTCAGCACTTTAAATACATATGGCAAAGAAGTGTTCTTCTCTCCCAACTCCCAACCAGGAAGCCACTGCAGGACAGCAGCCCTGCTCTTCTTGCCAATGTCCTGGGGTTGGGTGTCCTTCCGCTCCATCCTGCGTCATCTTAGGTCCAATTCTCAGCACTTCTGTGTCCCCCACCTAGCAGAGAGCCTTGTGAGGTCAGGACGAGGTGTTTGACAGGCACTACTGAGACCCTGCTTGCATCCCAGGGACCGCGCCATGTCAGTGTGCTCTGCTGACTTGAAGATGTCAGCATCTGCATCTTGTGCCTGAGGGATTTTTCCGGAATGGTGGAAGGCTGCTCTGCCTATGTGCACAGTGGGGAATATGTGCCAGGGAGTGAACACCCCTCAGGAGCAGCCCTCAATCAGTGACCCTCGGTGCAGAAACACCCCAGTGCTACTGCTTCTTGAGTGGGAAGATTCTGAGGTCCACGTTTGACCCCATTTCCCAGAGTTTCCTAGGGATAGCCGTCCGCCAGGGTAACTGGCCACATGCCACACTCTATCAGCTGGTCTCTCCCTGACTCCTGCCCCTACTCCCTGCTCAAGCATCTCCCCAATAAACTACCAGCACTTTCAGAGGCAACCAACAAAGATAGTGACATTCTTCAGGTGGGACACCTGGTATACAGCTGGTGCTCAATGGGGTGCTGTCACTGTCAGCGTTTATTTGTCTAATACATGAGATAAAGATGGCTTTCATCTTCTTCATTCTGTTAACTTAATTTCCTTGAAATAAGTATATTCATGTCTGAGCTACTAGGTTCATGCAAAAATAATTAATTGTGCAAAACTTTCATGGCAAAACCGCAATTACTTTTGTACCAACCCGATACATTGCCCAAGGTGTGAAACTTCTGGGCAGTTTGACTTAGACGTTCCCGCTTGTTGCCTTGGTAATCCCCAGCGAGGCTCTGGCTCTCAGATAATCTATTTTCTATCTGCTGCAGTGTGAACATGTCTGCCCAGCTCTTCCCTGAGACCTCTCTCATTGACATCTGTCTTCAAAGCAAATTCTTACCTTGCTGCATTATCTACCCGTGGCTTTGGGAGCCGTGGGTCCTTCACAGCAGCGTTCCCCCAAGTAATTCATTATCTAACACACATATCCATAGAAGGGAATCATTATGACAGTACTGTGATTAATAAAAGCAACAGCAATAACAAATGCCTCCCGAGCGTTTACTGTGTGCCCGTGGGTCTGCATGAATTTCCTCATCCACCCTCACAGCATATGAGATGCATTCCTCTGTATTTTATATGAGATGCACTGTTGCACATTTCACAGTTGGGAAAACTGAGGCACAGAGAGCTTGAGCCACTTGCCTGAGTTTGTGGTGGAATCAGGATTTGCATTCAGATCACCATTCAGCAAAGTCCATGTTTGTCACTGTTTTGCCACATTGAGTGGCCAATCTAGGAGCTTGGACTGTACATGTGCATTTCTAGGTAACTGATTCAACAGAGTGAAGAAATGAAACTCACATGTGTCTTAAAAATCAGGCAAACTTCCCCAGACCACCAAAAGTTTGTCTCTTTTCCTGCCATAAGAAGGGGAAAATAGGCTGTATTGTAATGTAGATTCAGAACTCTTTCCTAGACTGGCCACCCCCAGACAGGCAGCCCAAGAGAGGGGACACAGCACTTTTCCTGTCATTGCACCTACTTGGTGGCTGGAAGAGTTAAAAATACATATTGCACTTCCTGTGCTGCCATCAGGCCCATCCAGACCACTATTGCCTCTCCTCTGGAGTGTCATAGCATCTCTGTAACCAGCATGTCAGTCTCCAGCACTGCCCTCTTCCCTCCGCTTCAAGTGGTGTCTTTCTAAAACCTGGATTCCTTGGCTTCTAGAATCTGGTCCATGCTTTCTACTCTGCAGGAGAGGTTCTGCCTCTGTCGTGGCTTACGCATGAGTCTGTTGGAATGCTTGCTTGCCCCCAAAGATGCAGTCCTCCCCTTGGCTATGACATTTCCTCTCTGTGGTGTGCCCGTCCCCACCTCATTCTCACAGTGAACTCCTATTCATCCCCCAAAGCCCAACTCAACAGTCACCTCCAGGAAACTGCTTGAAGCCCCACAGGGTGATTAGTGGCTCTTTTAGCATTTTATTCTATTCTGAGAACTCCAATTTGAAGGTATTATAATTATTTGCTTCCCTGTCTAACTCCCCAGCAAGCATATGAACTGTTTGAGAGCATTTGTTATGCTTGGGCATTATTCTATGTGTCTTAAGAATAGAGAACGGCCGGGTGCAGTGGCTCGTACCTGTAATCCTAGCACTTTGGGAGGCTGAGGCGGGTGGATCACAAGGTCAACAGATCGAGACCATCCTGGCTAACATGGTGAAATCCTGTTTCTACTAAAAATACAAAAAATTAGCTGGGCGTGGTAGCAGGTGCCTGTAGTCCCAGCTACTCAGGAGGCTGAGGTAGGAGAATCACTTTAACCCGGGAGGCGGAGGTTGCAGTGAGCAGAGATCACACCACTGCGCTGCAGCCTGGGCAACAGAGCAAGACTCCATCTCAAAAAACAAACAGAAAACAGTAGAGGATAGTACCTGGCACTTAGAAGGAATGTGACAAATGTTTGTTGAATGAGTAGATGGATTTATGAATGAATTAGTGAAGTTAAGAAGCATTAATCAAAGGATGAAAACATGAATGGTTGGATGGGAGGTTGGATGGAGGGATGGACTAAAAGATGGATGGGAGAAGGAAGAAAGGAAAGGAGGGAGAAAGCAGGGGTGGAAGGAAGGAAGGCAGGCGGACAAACGACCAAACGAATCTGCCTGCATCATCTGTAACTCAGAATGAATCGAAAGCTTTTTTGGTCATTCTGTAGACTGAAGAATAGCAATTATTTTCTACTTAAGGATAATTCTGGCTGGGCACAGTGGGTCACACCTGTAATCCTAGTGCTTTCGGAAGCCAAGGCAAGTGAATTGCTTGAACCCAGGAGTTCAAAACCAGCCTGGGAAACATGGTGAAACCCTGTCTCTACAAAAAATATACATACAAAAATTAGCCAAGTATGGTGGTACATGCCCCATCTCTGTAAAAAATACACATGAAAAAAATTAGCCAAGGCTGAGGTGGGAGGATCACTTAAGCCCAGGAGGAAGAGGTTGCAGTGAGCTGAGATCATGCCATGGCACACCAGTCTGAGGGACAGAGCAGGACTCTACCTCAAATAAATAAATAACTGATTCTTGCAGGGAAGATTCGGGAGTGTGTGTGTGTGTGTGTGTGTGTGTGTGTGCACGCGCACACACACATGTGCATTTGCACATGAAAATGTGGAACTTTGAACAGATTTCTTAGTCTATGACATATGTGGAGGATCCTTCCAAAGAGTCTGTTTGGTGACTGGGACCCTCTATTATGGACCCTCCTGTGTCAGTCCACAGCCAGAGTCCTGAAGCCCCCCTCCCTCTTTGGAGCCTCCCTGGAAAAGAAATCACAGTGCCAGCTGGACATTCTTCAGTCTGCAGAGCAAATACGCCCTGTTTGTGCAGCTCTGAATGCACAGAGAACGTGCTTTATCTACCGTCCCCTCTATAACCGGCCCCAAAAACCTGCTCCAGCCATGCCCAGGCTGAAGAGGGAGTTATCGAGAGATGGAGCCTCAGATTTGCCAGTTTAAAAGCCACTGGGTAATAGGGACAGCTTTTGATTCTGGAAAAGAGGCACTTGCCAAAAGCCTCACCTCCCGGCTTTCCCGTAAATGACTCTGGCTATTTTTAGGGTGTATCTGGCTGGGTCTGTGAGCATGAGGATGAGAATAGATGCAGGAGATTGGAGGCATAGGTCTTAGATGGCCCTGCTGCTCACCAGCCAGCAAGCCTTGGGTCAATCTCTTGACATCTCTGAGCCTCAGTTTCCTCACCTGTGTAACAGTGGATCCTTCAGAATGTCTTCAAGAGTCCCTCTCAGATCTGATAACCAAATATTCTGCAAATTCTAGCCAATAAAAGTGTTACACAACTTTTCTAGAAGTTCATCTACTTGGCGCTTTAAGCGTGTGTTAGGCATGTGTGGGTCTCAAATTTGGCCACAGGCATCCTGGATTTCTCTGTCTTTCCACTTGGGCCCCCCATCCAGATAATCACCAAGTCCTGCCCATGGCACCTTCTAAACAGCTCTCCAGTTCAAGTGTTTCTTCCAGCCCTCCCCCCCCCGCCCTCATCTCACCTCCCCGCCTCTACTGGTCTTGCCCTGCATCCCCTGCCACCAGAATGACCTTGGGAAATACAAACCAGATGGTAATTCTCCCCCACTTTAAAGCACTCAGTGGCTCTTCATTGCCTGAAGAAAGAAACCCAAACTCCCTGATGTGGCTGACAGAGCCCAGCCTGGCTTGCCCCAGCCTGCCC